CCATTACTTTTGGTCCCTTGAAAAGTGGGAGGCACATATACAAACTGTTGTAATTCCTACACCATTCACCTGATTTGGATGTAAATACCCTAAAATTAAAGCTGAAAGTCTGCAGTTAAAGCACATCTTGTTCATTTCATTTCTCATCCATTGTTGTGGCCAAAAAGATTAGAATTGTGTCGATGTCCCAATATTTATGGACCTGACTGTATGTCTAATTGGTGTATATCCCCACCTACCCATACATTTTAAGGGTAAGCATGTTTGTATGGTTAATGGAAGCGCTTCGGTATTATATATAGATTTTAATCATTTATATATAATTTGTATTTAAAGTTTTGAGTGTGGTGGAGAGGGTATTCCCACACAAGTGTTCTAGAACTGCTATTTATTATTGTTGTCTTTAAGCATTGAGTTATTGGCACACTTCCACCTTGGGAAGTTTTTTACCATGAATAGGAATATGTCTATATAGGGCTACTACTTCCAAAATATGTGGACGATCCCATATACAAGGAATAAATCATTTAGACATACTATTCCTCTTAATGAGTAAAATAAATGGACTGCTTTTGAAGCTAAACTCAAATTACATGTGTAATGCAGAGATTAGCCACAAGATGCCGCCAAAGGATAACTTTTGTTTTATTATTTTTTTACAGTAATATGCATTCTTGAGGAGAATTTAATCAGAAAACACGCTTTATAACTAAAATAACTAAAATAAATTAACTTTAAATAAATTAATAAAAAGCATCCTGCCCAGTGGTCAGGCTGCTTTAGTTACAGGCATCCACCGTTAGGAGTGGGACGTCTGTCACTTTTTGGCAATATAGGGGTGTCAGGGTCTGAGTGGGAATCTTTAAATTTCACTTAACACTAAAGTAAGGCAGACACTACTTCAAATACTGTGTGCTCACATTACTTTAGTATTCAGCAGTATTTATCATGCTTTCTCACTGTCCATGCAGTGCCTGCCTTAACTAGTCAAGGTGAGGGAGTAAATGTGACAAGCACCTGATAACAAGATTAGGAGGAATCCAGTGAGATAAGATGATGGGTACCATTGTTGAATAGGTGTCTGTCTGTAGCTGATGGAAGTTAAGGTGACAGGCACCCACTGTCTGTGTAGTGCCTGTCACCATGTGCTTTAGGAAATACCTTTGCTGGCACTGACCATGCTACAGACCAGGTCTGAGTCTACTTCAGACTTATTAAAGCGGCACTCTCATGGCCGCATATGTTTTTTATATACCCCCCTCCCGACTTCACTACATCTAATTGTCCCCTTGGTCACCCCCAAATGCCACTAGGTCCCCCATTTCACCCCTCTTTACCTGTTGATTTCTTGCCCGGACCTAAATCCTATGCACCGCCATCTTTGTGTGGGAAGATGAAGGCCCTGTGGGACACTTCACCTACCCACACTATATAGCACTTTAAAATTCCTGTGCATGCCCAGTTTAACACTTGGGCATTCACTATTGTCCGAAATTCTGGCAAAAATTTCAGCTATTCGTTAATTCGCCAGAAAAACGCATGAACGAATAGAAATTTCAAATGAATGAACGAAGACCAAATTTTGGTATTTGTTTGTTCATTTAGTTCCTTACAAGGAGGGAGCTACATAATATGTAAAAATAGAAGTGTCGGGGAACACTGCCACAACTCACCCAGGCCATCCCTCAGTCTATGGGGATCAACACATAAAATGAATTACAGAGATTCAAAACACACAGGATTATATAGTACAATACACAAATTGAATTAGGGGGTCAAGTGACTTCATTGCTCACATGACAACGTTTGTAATCATGTGACCAATGGGCAAATAAAATAAAAAAAATTTAAATCCATAAGTTAAAAGTGTAACTGATGCTGAACTCAAAATATAGATATTTAATATTAAAAACCATGACTTTTCAATTTTGGCTTTATATTTGTTAAATAAATCATTACACGGTGTAATATGTCATATGTTGTTGTCCTTCTGAGGTTGTATTTGCCTAATTTTAAGACCTGCTAAGGAACAGATGATTATTATAATGTCCTGATATGTAAAACCATAGAATTCAAAGAGGATGGACATTTTTTTCCTCATGACTGCATAGGCGGTTTATAGATTACATGTTTTTAATTTGGAATGAATCTGAGGAAGAACTGAAGAAGTTTCCACATTATCTAAGAAGAAAACTTGGGGCATTACGTTTAAAGCTGAACACAACGTTAAGAGAATTTCATTCCTTGACTTAGAAATGTTTATTGATCACAACACTTTGAAAACCAGAACATTTTTTTTTTTTTTTTAAAGTGGATGTTAATAATTACATCCTCATTTCAAGTTGCTGCTATCATTCTTGGCTTGCGAATCTATTTACAAGTATCAAACGGAATGGTACAGATTCTTGGAAAAGTAATACAATGAAGATGACCTAGAACAAGCACTAGAAGAAGTAATGAAGATTCAGAGGAATTATATTTTCGATTACAAAACAAGAATACAATCAGGAGAAGAGGGAATAGAGATACCCATAATTTTTACTTATAATCACCAAGCCTAGAAGATTAAACTGACCATAAAGAAAAGGTGGTCAGTTTTGAGATGAATTAGTTTTTAAAAGTTTACTTGAAAAACCTTGAAATCCATATGAGCCCCTAGTCTATTACCTGAGATACAGAGAAATAGGAAAACCTTTTCTTAATTTAGAGAGTGGGTTTTATAAATGTGGAGCTTGTAAAGCATGCTGAACATGAGTCAATATGGATAGGAATTATATACAATTTAAGTCCTACCACACTAGAGAAGATTTTAAAATTTGGCATGTCATTACATGCAATACTAAAAGGGTTATCAATTTATTATATTGTGCATGTGGACTTTAGTTTATTGGATGGACGGGACGACCACTCAAAAAGAACACATCTATAATATTAAAAGAGGTTTTGATGGTCACAGGACGTTAGAAGAATCCAAACCACTTGTATTTCTGTGTTATAGAGAGAGTACATAGAGACAAACCTTTTTTTACAATTTAGTAAAATGTGTTGTGCATAGAAAGCTATAAGTGCTGTTGTAACACTTTACAAATTTTCTTAATAAGGTTACACATGGGGCAGCGCATGACTTCCGGTAAAGATGGCTGCTTCTCTTTAGAGCTCTGCACCAGCAGGCGAAAAAATAGCTGTCATTAGTGGCAGTAGCAGATAAAACCACACAGATTGCTTTTAGGGTGCGCACTTACCATGGGCGGCAGTCGAATATCTAGGCATGGCTCCATGGTACCACCGATTTTCCATGCATGATTGGAGAAGGACCCCCTACGTGCTGAAGAACCACCACCATTGGACTCTGATACAGACCTCAGCAACTTCAGCTGCTCTAAGGACTTTTCCTCTATAACGAGGAAAGACTCCATCAAGACATAAAAACAAATATGGCCTTGGAGTTCACAAAACACTATTAATGAGGGCCTAGAGGATTTGTCCAGCTGCACTATTGAAGTAGAAGATGGAGTACCCTTCTACTACAGACTCGATGCATGAAGGATCACTGCAGGAGAATGCACAGGAGGACCTTAACAATAGGTCAGAAGGCTCACTGAATCCATATCTATGGACACTCTTCACTCTACCCTGAGGGAAACTTTCCGTGGACTTCTGCCTAAAGCCCCAAGACCAGAAATAGAAAGTACACACAAGGCCCCTTGCACCTCTTCAGCTTACAATACTCAGCCGAGGGTGTGATAGTGTGCCTCCATTAGTTTTATTTGAAAGAGGCCCTTATGAAAGCTGCCCGGGAGATCCTATTGCAAATATAGGGACACTAGGTACAGTTCTACCAAGATCTTGCCAAAGTCACACTCAGTAAATGGCAAAAGCTACAACTCCTCACTCAAGTATTAGATGCCCAGCATTTTGTGGCTCAGCTTCGACTGCTGGACTTAAGCCTGAATGCACCACAACCACAATACAGAACTCAGGCACCTAGAGGGTGATCTGACACATCGGTTAAACGCAAATGACCTTCTTGGAATGAACGCCAGCACTCTCAATCTCAGAACTAGAAACAAAGCTTATATTTGATTCTCTTCTAATTTATCTGAAGGGACTTCAACAATGTAACTTTTTATTCACAATGTACACCCAAGAAGACTTACTGATTGTACAGGGATAATAGGACTCGCCTCACCCAAGACCTAGATATGCCCATTTCCATTTTAATTTGGAAGATGAGCTGTTTTCTGACTGCATGCCAAGAAGGGGCTGAAACTGTCTTCCAGATTCTGGCAATTAACATCTTGGCAGCAGCCAAAATGTGAATAACAATAGTTGAGGATGTACCAAACATTTTTTGGATGTTTAATTGTAATAAAAAGAGGCTAGTATGAAATCCAATTGTTTTTGAGAGTACAGTTAGAATTTTATTATGTATCATGTTCAAAAATAATTGAATGGGAGGGCAATCCCACCATATTTGCAAAATGTCCCCTCTCTAAGCTAGGCCGCTCCAGCACTCTCCAGGTACCATTTGTTTAAGAGTTTGTAATGAATTTCAGTCAAATTTAAACAGTAGAGATTTTGTGAACTTTAGTTAGAGATTATGTCCATTCTTCGCAGCTGATCTGAATTTTTCAATCTCTCTCCCACTTTTTTACTACCGGTAGGATAAATTTGTCAGGGTCACCCTTAATCTGGTCCAAGCTGCCTGCCACCAATTTATTCATTTTCATGTTCTTAATCAGTTTCTGGAGTTTAGACTGCTTGGTAGAACTATCTATGACTAAGTGATCTTGGAGGTAACATATTATTCTGATATAATTGAACATCTCTCTATTTTGGAGCCTATAATCCCCTGTTAATGCAATAAAATTATTAACTCAAGCAAAATTTAAATTTTATTAAGGCCAGCATTTGTCCAAGCAGAGAGACTTAAGTCTTCGATATTATACATAATATGTTCTATAGGAAGACATGAGATAATTTTATCTTGGAGATGCCATGTAGTTTTTAATTTTTCCCATGTGTTCATGAGGTTGTTAAGAACCAAACCTTTAGAAGAAATCTCTATGTGATATTGCTTCTTTTTTTATCCTTTGTCCGCCAAAATATTGTCTGACCACCAATTTGGTCAAACTCATTTCAATTTTGTACCATACTTCATCCTTAACGTTATCATGCTTTCCAGTAGTCTTTTAACTGAGGTACACCCAACCCGCCTTGGTTTATTTTCAATGCTAAACAACTTGCACTAATGCAGGGGTGTTTGCCTAGCCAAATAAATTTGTTTAAAAAAGGAACAAGCTATCTCAAGCCAGCTGTGTTGACAACATATGGGAATCATATTGAAAAGATAAATCCATTTTGAGAGAATATAGCACTTAATAATGTTGATTCTTCCCCACCATAAGACTTCCAAGGATTTCCACCCTTTTAGTTTTTTGTTAGTATACTTTAGCAGAGACAAGAAATTTACCTCCATTATCACTGTAATATTCTAGGCAACTCAGCTACGGGTATGACATAGGAAGCTGAGTGGGCATGCCTGCTACCGAGGGCGAGTGCCTGCTTCTCCCTTCTCACTTCAACAAGACTATGTCGGATTCATAGAACTGACAAGCGAACAAAAAGCAAAATTCCTATACGGCAAAATCAGAGAGGAGCAACTGCTATAATTTACAACTCACAAGGAGATCAATCTAATGAAACCTCGAAGGGAGCATACTCCGAGGTCGGCGCCATGAGTCTCTAGCCAGATAAGTACATATGGGGGGCAGCTGGGAGTTTGGAAGACCTAGAGATAATCTCATTAATTAAAACAACAGACTGTTTAACCTTTTACTGCTTAATGTAAAAATATGATACCTAATCTATAATGAGCTGCTTCATATAGTGCTCACAAATAATTTACTTGAATTGTGGCATCTTGCTGGATAAGAATTATTAAGTGTGGGATAAAGATAAAAAAATCTTCCATTTGAGACACAAGCTACTTAGTTTCGATTTTCTAGTTCATTTAATTTGTACTTAAATTGGAGAGAAGTTAAAATGTCTTAACCCTATGGATAAGGGACACTAATTATAGTTATAAAGGGAGTAAAAAAAATAAAATGAAAGATGACTTTCTACATTCTTTCCTTCTCCTAAACCAACGGAGCCCAAACCCAGGCTACTAATGACAGAACATACCACTTCTAATACTACAGACATCAATGATACTAATCAAGTAAAAGCTTATAGCTCAAAAATAATAAGTCCAAAATCATCAGACTTACAATATGCATCGCAAGACTATATTAAACAATGTCTGGAAATACAAATTAAGGAAGAACTTAAAATCCATATGGGTGACCTTAAACAGGAAATGACAAAAATGAACGAAAGAATTAAAGAAAATTAACACAAAATTGATGCACTACAATTTGAAACACAAGAACAGAGAAATAGATTTAATGAAATTGAGAAAAAAATAAACACACTAGAGTCTCAACTCACGGACGCAGAAGATAGAGGAAGAAGAAAGAAGAAAAAAAATCTGAAAATAAGGGGCGTTGTAGAAAAGGTGGATACAGAAAATAGACCTTATTTAATAGCACTTTTTAAGGATATGAATGTCCATGAGGCTCATGGTGAAGAAATAATAGAAAGAGTCCATAGACTCCCTAAACCCAGCTATCTTCCAGACGAAGTACCACGTGACATCATTATAAGATTCAATTCATTCTACATAAAATAAATAAAATTCATACTGAGGAAAGAAAATTCCAAAATCTATATTACTACCACGATCTCTCCATCAGAACTCGACAGCTGAGAAGAGAATTCAAGCCAATACTTGACGTCCTTAGAACTAAGAGCATAAAGTATCGATGGGGATTTCCTATTAAATTGATTCTCATGTATGAAGTAAAAAATCTGATATTTAATTCGGCTCAACAAGCTCAGGAGTGGCTGAATAAATCTTTAATGAATACCGAAGAAGAAAGATCTAGTGAATTGGCAGAAGGATCGAGAAGGCAGACATGAACATAACAGAGAAGGGGAGGGGGTGGATGAGAGGGAGGAATAATTAATATACTTATATCTATATGTAATTTTATTTATTTTATTTATTTATTTTGGAACTTTTTTGAGGGAAAAGAGAGAAAATAGCAATAGGAGTAAAATGTGAAAATGTTATAGTAATGGTACTCACAATCACAAATTTAAATCTCTTTAAGGTAGAGGAGAAGAAGCGACTAATTTATCTTGATTAATCGGCCGCTATTAAAAACACATTTATTCACTATTTCTTTTTTAAGGGTCCTAAGTAAGTGTGGCAAACCCTGCCACTTGGACTAACTATTCTGTGTGAATAGGTGTCATTCACCAAGGGAATAACCACAGGAATTGACTGTAATAGTATTGTAATGTGTTTATTCGAATGTATGAAACTACCGAACGGAAGACAGACCGGAGGTCCAGAAATGGGTCCCCAACCCCACCACGCATAGTACAAGGAAAGCCTAAAATTCCGTACCATGCTTTTAAAAGTTATGTGGAGGACATTGATGGCTACCTGCATGACTTTGAGAGGTTATGCCAACTACACGAGATTGACGCTGCTGACCTGCTGGTGGGCAAGCTAGCGGGCCGGGCAGCAGAAGCCTACCGCACCATGCCAGATGAGGACAGCAGGGACTACCAGAAAGTAAGGCAGGCGATCCTGACCAGGTATGCCATCACCCCAGAGGCGTACCGGCAGCGGTTCAGAGAAAGCTGAAAGACGGAGAGAGACACCCACATGGAGTGGGCACACCGCTTAACTAGGGCAGGCAAAGGGTGGGTACAAGCAGCACAAGCAACCACAGTGGAGGATATGCTCCAGTTACTGCTGCTAGAGCAATTCTTCCAGGGATTAACCCCGGATTTACAAAACTGGCTGCGAGACCGGAAACCACGCACCTTAAGGTTGGCGGACAAGTACCAAGATGCCAGAAGGGCACAACGGGCACAGTCACGGCCCACCTCGGGCGCTGCTACCACACCTCTCACTGTTATCCCCACCCCATTACTGCGTCCGGGTGGTGGGAACTACCAAACCCCTCCCCGGTACAACAATGCCCGCTCGTTCATCAGGCGCCACACGTGTAACCAGCAGGGCCACATGCAGAGAGACTGTTCCAGGAACAAAAACCGCCCCACGTGGAATACCCCAACTAGCTCCCCTGCAAACCGGGCAGTGGTACACTGCTACCAGAGTGAACCCCGACAACCTCACCTCTGGGCCGGGTCCAATGAAGAACCTTTGGGCACCCTCCATGAGGTCAACCCCATACAAGCGGCTGCAGACAACCAGCAGGGACATCGCCAAGGGGTGCACGAAGAGGGAAAGCGCCTCCAGGGTCTGCGCGACTCTGGGGCCACCATAACTCTGGTGCGCAATCACTTAGTTCCCAAGAACCAGCTCACTGGAGAATATGTGGCCGTTCGGGTGGCAGGGGGAGCTATTTACAAAATTCCTACTGCCAAGGTACATTTGGATTGGGGAGCGGGGTCAGGGAATGTGGAAGTGGGCCTCATGCAGGATCTACCTGCTGATGTCATCCTGGGCAACGACTTGGGGGAGCTGACCTCTGCTTTTGTTTCTCAGCACCCCGCGCAGGAAGCGCTACCCATTGTAACACGGCAGCAGGCTCGCACTACCGCATCTTCTGAACACTCTGAGGCTCAGGTAAGCAACAGTCCTACACCCCCTTTTGTCCCCTGGGCTCCCCCCTTAGAATTTGGTACTGAAGTAGTCACCGACCCGTCCTTGCAGGTATACCGGGATAGGGTTATGCAGAATCAGGCGGGGTTAGAGGGGGAGAGATATGCTTGGGAGAGAGGATTATTGTACTGGTACGCAGAGAAGGTAGTAGCAGGATCTGTACCCATGACCCTCACGCAATTAGTAGTGCCCAAAAAGTACAGACAGGAGTTATTACGCATTGCCCACGACATCCCTTTGTCAGGACACCTAGGCGTCAGTAGGACGAAACACCGTTTGACCCAAAACTTCTTTTGGCCAGGGGTGTCCAAAGATATCCGGCAATATTGCCAAACTTGCGATACGTGCCAGAGAGTAGGGAAGAGAGGGGACCGATACAAGGCAAAAATGCACTCCCTTCCCATAATAGATGAGCCCTTTAGTAGGGTAGCTGTTGATATAATTGGACCCCTAGCAAAACCCAGTCCATCCGGGAAAAAGTACATATTAACAGTAGTAGACTATGCTACCCGGTACCCAGAGGCAGTGGCCCTAACTAATATCCATGCCGAGACTATAGTGGATGCACTGATCCGGATATTCTCCCGAATGGGGTTTCCTAAGGAGATTATCTCAGATCGGGGTACCCAATTCATGGCTGAAGTCACTCACCAGTTATGGAGAACATGTGGGGTGAAACCTATTGTAAACTCGGCGTATCTCCCTCAGTCCAATGGGCTCTGTGAACGTTTCAACGGAACATTAAAGCAAATGCTCCGTACGTTCATGGATACCCAGAAGGACGGGGAGAGGTTTCTTCCCCATCTGCTCTTCGCTTACCGAGAGGTACCCCAGGAGTCCACAGGGTTCTCACCATTCGAATTACTATTCGGAAGGAGAGTGCGGGGTCCCTTGGACCTCATTAGGGAGCACTGGGAAGGGACTGTCACCTGTAATGGTACCCCTATCGTCCCATATGTGCTAGAGTTCAGGGAGCGCTTGGAGACCCTAATCCAGATGGTACGGTCTAATCTTCAGGCGGCCCAGCAACGACAGCGCAGATGGTACGATAGGGGAGCCAGGGACCGCAGTTTTCAAATAGGGCAAAAGGTGCTAATCTTGAAGCCGGTCCAAAATGACAAACTGCAGGCCTCATGGCAGGGCCCTTATAAAGTGGTTGAACAGGTATGTGACACGACTTATATAATTGCCCCATGTACGAGAGCGGGCGGTAGACGCATGCTCCACGTTAACATGTTGAAGCTGTATCACGAGCGGACCGAGGAAGTAACTGCCATATGTGCTTCGGCTGCCGAGGACCCAGATAAGTTACCGCTACCGGACCTATTAGAAAAAGGGGGGCCTGACACAGAATTAGGGGAAGTACAGTTAGGAGACAGGCTGAGTCCTAGAGAGCGAGCTCAAATACTAGAGCTGATCAGAGAGAAAGGGGATACATTTTCCAACCAGCCCGGATATACCCCCCTGGCTACCCACAGAGG